CACTGTCAGCATGGAACCCAATGCGGGGCTTGAACTCACAAACTGTGAGATTATGACTTGAGCCAAAACCAAGAGTTGGAGGCTTAACCGACTGAGCCACCCAGGCGCCCCAGTCATGTTTAAAAGATGTTTATTTATTTTGAGAGAGAGAGAGAGAGAGTACTAGAGCGAGCCGGGGAGAGGCAAAAAGAGAGGGAGAGAGAGAATCCCAAGCAGGCTCTACACTATCAGTGCAGAGCTCGATAGGTACAAGGTTCATAGGATCCGTGAGATCATGACCTGAGCTGAAATCAAGAGTTGGATGCTCAACCAACTGAGGCGCCCCGGTGCCCCTTTTTAGTCATTTTTAAAAATACAAGTATAACTGTCACACAATGTTACATTAGTTTCAGGTACAGAACATGGTGATTCGACACCTCCGTATGTCATGCTATGCTGACCACAAGTGGAGCCACCATCTGGTCACCATACAGCACAATTACGATACCATTGACTATGTTCCCTCTGCTGTACCTTTCATCCCATGACTTACTCATTCCACAAACTGGAAGCCTGTACCGCCCACTCCTTTTTGCCCATTTTGCCCATTCCCTCCATCCCCTCCCCTCTGGCAACCACCAGTATGTTCTGTGTATTTACGGGTCTGTTTCTGCTTCCGTTTGTGTGTTCATTTGTTTTGTTTTTAAGATTCCATATATGAGTGAAATCTATGGTTTTATCTTCCTCTGACTTATTTCCCTTAGCATAGTACCCCCTAGGTCCTTCCATGTTGTCACAAACGGTAAAGTCTCATTCTTTTTATGGCTGAGTAATATTCCATTGTGTATACACACCACATCTTCTTTATCCATTCATCTATTGATGAACACTTGGGTTGCCTCCATATCTTAGCTTCTGTAAATAATGTTGCGATAAACATAGGTCTGCATATATCTTTCCGAATTAGTGTTTTTGGTTTCTTTGGGAAAAGGCCCAGTAATGGAATTATGGGATCACATGATATTCCTATTTTTAATTTTTTGAGGAACCCCCATACTTTTTTGGGTGGAGTGTGGTCTTGAGGTGGTTTCTCTCTGGTGATCTCTGTTCTCTCTATGAAGGAAAAAGAGAGGCTGAGAATGAGGAGGCAGCATAATATAAAGGACTTGAGAGTAAAAGAGTCTTAAAATAGCTGCTTAGGGAATGGAAAAAAGGAGGAGGCAACTGTGGTCCTGTGCCCAACAGAGGCTGGGGACCGCAAATTTTCACGGACTCCTGGCTTGGATGGTTGTGAGATATTTCCATGGTTGGATCAGCAATTGTGCTATTCAAGCAGAGCAGGCGAACGTTTGGACTAATTTGACTTCCCCTTTCCCTTTCCTTCCTTTTTCCTCCCTTCTCTTCTACTTCTCCATCCCCAAATAATCAGAACAGTTCTGCTATACAATCCAAAGTGAGTCCAACAGCAGAGTTATATATTGTTTGATCATGGTCTTTCATACCATCAAGAAAAGAACCAGACTTTGCAAAATGGAGGAATTTTTGGCCCCGGGCTGACTGAAGTGCAGTGAGGTGCCGGTCAGGGATCTCTGATGAGCTGGATCTGGAGCACAGCTGGGGCATATGAACGAGCTCCTGGTGAAAGATGGCTGGGATGGAACAGCTATAAATGTTTGGGTTACAGACCAAGAGCTGAGAATCTGAATGGAGGAACAAAGAAAAATTGAGAATTAGGATACAGATGGAAATACTTGTTGATACTATAGATCTTGTGTGAATTAAAAACCACAAAAACAAAAACAAAAGTATTTCTTTTTTAAGCCAATCGCCTTCAAATCACTTTGGTTAAAATAGTTAACCCTTATTGAGCGCTACCTACTTTTCAGGCGTTATTCCACAAGTTTTATATGGGTGTACTAACTCAATCCTAATAGCAATTATATTATTAAGTAAGTTCTTTTGTCATTATCCTCTTCATATAGATGAATTAATAGAGAATTTCTGTCACAGATGCAGGGTTATAAAGCTTGTAGTTGATATTCAAATCTAGGCAGTCTGGCATTGGAGACCATATGTTTTTTTTCTTGCATACATACATATACAAAAGTAGAGCCCTCCCATGTATTGATCATCCAGCTTAAAGAATAATCAACTCATCAGCATGCACAGCTAATCTCTATGCTATTCAGCTCTATAAACATTACAGGAACTCAATTAGTTAAACTAGGACTTAACTTGGGTGAGAGCCTCAGTAATCCTTGCCATAAGATGAAAATTTGATGAAAAACATATTCTAAACCTCATATATCTAGAGGTAAATCACTCTTTACCACAATTTAGCAGCCTCCTCAGTAAAAAGTGACTGATAAAATAGTGTTCCTACTTCTCCTTCTCCCCCACCATAGTTTTCCAAATCCAAGTATTTTTGGCCATTCCAGCTTGGGATCTTAAAGGAAGATCATCTGACTTGGAGCTGTCAGGTTGGTGGCCTACAGGCAACATGTAGTCAGCACATTTATTTACTTCATTATATTTTGAGAGAGAGAGAGAGAGTGTGTACATGCACCCGTGTGTGAGCGGGAGAGGGGTGGGGGGAGCGGGGAGAGAATCCCAAGCAGGCTCCACACTGTCAGGGCAGAGCCTGAAGTGGGGCTTGATCCCACAAATCGTGAGACTCTTGATCCAAATCAAGAGTCAGAAGCTCAACTGACTGAGCCACCCAGGTGCCCCCACAATTATTTTTTTAAAATAAGATTGAGATCATATTCTCTTCCCAACTCTCTCACATCCTCCCACCCTAGATTCCTAGTTTCTCTTGAAAAGTATGGAGATCTGTAACCATTAGGTCTGCTTTTCTGCAGAGCCACATCGCAGAGCTGAGGCTTTTGAGGGGAGAGTCAACATCCCTGTTTGTCTCTGTCCCCACTGCCCATGCAGCATTGCTTGCCTGTTTCACCCATTTTTGTTACCTGCCAGGCCACGCTAGACATTTGAAAATACCACCCCTGATCAATTTCAAAGACTTCTTTGGTGGATCAGGAAACAAAGGTCTAGTAAGTGAATCTGCTCAAGGTCTCACCATGGCAACGCCCATGTTAGACTCTAATAGAATCTAGGTAACAGAGTGTTAATGAATAGAGAAACGGATGAAGTAATAAATTTATTCATACATTTCCAAATCCCTTCTTTAACACTGCTATCTCTCTCTCTCTTTTTTTTAACATACTCTAATGTTACCTATCGCTTCATACTGGTTGTACTTAAAAGTTATGCAGATGCCAGATTGTCCATGTCTCCTCCCTGTGGGTGGATAATCATAGCCTTCTTCAGGAGCTGGAGGAAATCTGGGAATAGAATGAATTAGCCAAAATCCCTGCACTCGGTTCCACAGCAGTAAACCTACCAAAGATACAATTAATATAGGTAAATTAGAAAAACAAAGCTCCTTTTAAAGATAGGGTTCAAAGCTGTAACATTTAAGCCCATTTGTACTTCAGGCTAATATTTTACTCTGTTAATAATCACAAAGATCATGCTTGCTTTTCAAAGATTTCAAAACTAACTTGGGCACACATTACATTGCCCCATTACTGATAATAAGCCACCACAAAAGAGAGCCAGGACAGCCACCCTGTGAAGAGTTAAGAGGAATTTCGTGTTGAAACCACAAGGAGAATTTGTTTTGGCGGAATGCAAATTTGCTAAATTGGAATTTGACCTTGTTAAACTACACAGTCACCTGGTAAGCTTCACATAATGAGTTATCTTTACCGCTAAGCAGCTAAGCTGTTTTCAAAAGCCAGCTGAAAAAGAATTGAAAGAGAAAGTATCAAATGAAGAAATGTACTTGCGATAGTTCATTGTAAGACACTGATGGTCACTTATGTGTAGAAGAGTAATCAACTCCACAAGGCCAAAAACAGAGACAGAGAGAACGAAAGAGAAGCCATGCCAAAATGACCCAGTTAATTGTGTTTAGTGAAAATTTCTAGAGCAAAATGACATGAAAACGGAAAGGAAGGAAACAGAAAGATTTTCATTTTGTGACATGGCAAAATGAATCCTACCCAACAGGCATCAGTGACTATTTCTGTGTTTATAAATAAATCGGGATAGTTCTGGTACACTGACTAGACTTTCCAGTTTGCATATGACCATGCAAATATGAAATTATTCATGTTTACCTTATTGTTAGAGTGGAAACCACATGCTTGCCAGTTATTTCTTTTGCGAAAAACACACTTGAAGAAAGCACGCTATTGGTCTCTCATTCCCTGTGTCCAGGTGGAAAACGTCCAATGTTCTGTTGCCAAACAGAGCTGGATGACCTTCAGGGGCCCTCTTCTGCTCAGATGAATGTACTGTTGGCCTGAAATCCTAACCTCCTGGTACCAGTGCCACCGGATGTCAGGGCACCTGTTGCCAAAGAGAACTCCTGCACTTGACATGGGGTCCCGTTCCCTTTGTGGTCTTTTTCCCAAGCCCTTTTAGCAATGAACAGGGTGGGGGGAGAATGGTGGTTGGCGGTTGTTAGACGAGAGTTTGGAGAATGTGGTGTATTACCAAAACTGCTGTGTTCCAAGCAAATAGGACCATCAGGAGGGCAACTTGGCTAAATAAAAAGCTTTCATTACTCATGATATTTGACAACCATTACAAATTACGTTCTTAATTGGAGGTGGCAAAAGTGGCAGCTTACTGGCCAAATCTATCCTGCAGATACATATTATTATTCTCAGAGAATATTTCTAAAATTTTGCGTTCATTGCCAACATTTAAAAATTGGGGAGATTTTCCACAAATGCTAATTTTCAACATCTCCTGAAAAATCGCATCCCTCCAAAGCAACCTGAACACTACCTGTACCTTTTCACCAAGCATGCACCCTCCGGTTCTTCAGTTCCCTGCTAGTTTAGTCCACCTGGCTTGCTGACATCCACTTGCCTGCTTCTGAAGCCATTTGAGTTTGGGACCTTCTTTTTTTTTTTTTTTT